AAGAAGTCTCTTTTTTGCAGGAAGCCTTCCGATCTGTGGAGAATATTCATGGCTTGGTGAACATGGTTAAGAGAACTCCAAAACCATCTGTCATTGTCTTATATTATGCCAAACTAACTGAAATATCCTGAATATCCGAGTCACTTGTATCATGCGTATGCATCGCTGAAGCTTTTCATCTTGCAAAAGAGCTACAATAAAAAATTAACTCAGAAGAGACCTTTTCAATTTCTCCCTCGTATCCAAGTGTGACAATAGAGAAATGGTATGCCTTCCAACTTTTCTCGAGTTAAGATAATTTTCCATAATATAATTATTTGCTTTCTGATAAATCTCCTCTTTACTTTTCAGGTTTCTAGAGCTCGCCGTGGATCCTTTTTTGGCTGCTGTGATTTTTTTAACATGCTGCCAAAATGTTCAATGTCTCTGTTATCACATGGATTTAGTCTTCCAATGCATTCTCGTCGAACAATGTAGGATGTGAGCTTCTTCGGCTTCTTCCAGCGGCCCGGCCATGACGTTCTCAAGCCGCCGACGCTCAGAGCGACATCAATGGCCCTCTCCCAAGCTGCACTGCTCCTGATCTTCATCGCCTCACACTGTTGTGCTCCGCACAGTTCAGCCTGACCATGATGTTCTCAAGCCGCCGATGGTCACAACACACGTGGCGACCCGCTCCCAAGCTGTGTTGCTTTTCCATCAGCGCTGACAAACTTAGTTTGTTTTTGAATGTGGGCATCAGGTCTCCGAGTCGTTTAAATCTGAACGCAAGACCAAGGTATCACATATTCTTGTAAAATGTCGATGGAAGAGTTCTTCCTTCAAGTAAGATTTTGATTGTTCCCTTTTGCCTAACAAAACATATATGCTGCTTCTAATTTGTAGTCTACTAGCCTGAGCATTGCGGAACAAAGCAGGAAAGCATTTGCTGAACTTAATAAAAGCAAGCATGGAATTTAAGTAGGTTCAGGTAATTTAAGTTAATTAGATTACACGCTTCTTCCTTGCTTATTGGAGAAGATGTTTGTATGCTTTCTCTCGTGTGCATGCTTGTGTGGTGTCATCATTTTTTAGTGCGCTGCAGTACCTATTTAGGTTAGTTCTTTGGGTGTCCTTTGTGCACGTGTGCTGCTTGCTGCTTCCTAGCTCGGGGGTCTAACAGTGACTGTGTTTAGGGTGTGGTGGACAAGGACGCCTCTGCCACAGCACCTGCATCTTCATCTCTGCCATGTACGTGCCCCTTGCCATGCATCTCCTTGCTAATTAGGGTGACCTCTTTTTGGGTACCGGCTAACTAATTTGATGCTTCTATTAAATGTTTGGGGGTTTCTTGAGGGGTGAAAATACTGGTAGTTAATTTATTGGCATCAGTTAGCACTGTTGGAGATTAGTTTATTGACTTAAGGTTCCAATCCATGAAGTTTACATTTTTGGTCTTTCCTTTTTATTGCTCATCACGCACACACATATATATTTGTGCCATGGTTAAAGTTTGTTAATATTATTTCACAGAAATAGTTAGCTATAGAGGTTTGTTATCAATTTGGTTATAGCTTATGGTGGAGACCAAGAACAAACGATTGTTTATGAAAGGTTTGATTGCAGGTATACCCAAATCAAGGTCTTTTATCTAATTGGTTGGATAACTACTTTTCAGGTGTCTTCTGATTACCACAGTAACACAATTTTCTTACTCATGCTTTGCGCTTAGTATATTTCTTCACTCTGAAAAATTAACTTTTGTTGGTTGCACGTCAAGTAACAAAGGTAATACTTTTTTGTTGCTTCATTGGCATGGTTAGTTTTACATCATTTACTAAGTTGAAAGCAGTTGAGATGTATGCCTTAATATCTGTTGTTTTGTTGCGTGTTGCTATTCCTTGAGGCCACTCCAAGATGATCGTTATTTCTTATGCAGACAAATAATTGCTGTAACATGATTACATTTACTGATTGGCGTAGCTGTACTTTTGGATGGCAGTGTTCATAGCTTAGTGGCAGTGTTTTAGATGTCTTTTTTTCCTGTATCCTATTGGTGCCTTTGGAAATTAAGAATTACTTTCTTTTTAGGATTCTTGCCGGAGGAGACGAACTTTTATGGTGAGTTTTTTTGCCCTGTATGCCTCGCTTCAGATCAGGTTTACCTCTGTTTAGTGCCATTATTGTTGTTGAACAATTACTTTCTTTTTAGGATTCTTGCTGGAGGAGATGAACTTTTATGGTGTGTTTTTTCCCCTGTATGCGTCGCTTCAGATCAGGTTTACCTCTGTTTAGTGTCATTATTGTTGTTGAACAATTGAAGATCTCTTAAATGCACATAACATTGCTAAACATGTAGGCTGATGCTGTTGTTATTATGGATGAGCTGTTGAAGGCCAAGGTTTTCCTTGTGAGAACGCCATAGGTACAAGAAAAGATTGCCTGAAAGGTCTTTATGGTTTATTCTGCAAGGTAAAAAGTGTGAAATATGAAACATATCACATTCACTCGGTCAGTTGCCCATTGTATTTTTTTGGCCTGTTTGTTACAATTTCTTGAGGCACATAGTGCTGTTTGTACAACCTGCAGGTTAGAGGCCTGCTGAGGCTAGCGTGAGGTCTGCTATGGCATCGATGATCTGGGTGTCATGACTGTGAGGACTGCTCGCGCCTCTCCGCTCACAAACCGTGTGACATAGTAAATACTCTGGTCCACAACAATTAGACCTTCCTCCCTCTCAGCTATGGTATTGCAGCACAACAATCTCCTTCCACCTTCATTTGTTGGGCTAGAGCGTTAGAAGACATTCTAATTTTCTAGCTATATTTTGCAATGTTAGACTGGTCAAATGTGTTTGTATATGGTCGCAGTGGCGTGAGCTTTTTCATTACTTGATCTGTTTATTCAAACTCAATTTTTCTGTTGTTGTGGAGAGGAGGATCATCTGCTCTTTCATACATATTTATTACCTTCACTATGATCATGGTACCGATTAAACTATTTCTAAATAAGCTTCTCCATCAAACATGTCCTAATTATGTCTTTCAAGCTGGGGGTTGCTCACCCAACCTTTCATGGAAAAATGGCAATCTGTTCACTTTGTGATCATTTATTTATTTTAAGTTGCCTAGGAAAGTTGGACAGACATAAAACTTGGTCCAGGAACTCCTGGACATTGCAATGTGTACTCTGTTTTCATCTGAATTTATTAGTTGCTAGAGGTTGTACCTTTGACGTGGACCATAAATTGTCCATTTGAGCTGAACTTTCTCCAGAGGAGAAAGTCCCGATGCAAGCTGCCATGTTTCTTAGCTGTAATTTCTTTTACCATCGTCTGAAGAATTTCTTCCTACCTGTTTGCTAGGCCTGACCAGTATTCAAGCACCCTAGCCTTTTTTTCCCTTGGCAAGAAACCTTGGCAGGTGCTATGAGGTACAGAAGCTGGAGAGATAGTTCCGAAACTCCTTGAGGGCTTGGAGGGTTTAGGGTGTTTGAAAATGAGACCCAAATAAAATTCTTTTCCATGTCGTTGTTCTGCTGGAACTGTTATTCTTATTTCTCTCGTCAACAATGGATATTGTGCGTATTCTGTACTATCATGCTTTTTGGGAAATACTTTAAAGATATCCTGTTCACTTATTTCTCACTAAATCCCATCTGTCCAGGTGCCACAAAGTGCCCAGGCAGCTGGAAGCACACATAAAACCATCGATGCTCCTTTCCGTAGGAGAAATAAGTGAACGGACAATCTTTTCATCTTTGTATAAATTCAGATGTGATTAGCCAAGTCCAGAAGATTTGGTCTACTTCTCACTAAATCCCATCTGTTCTTCAGATAATACTTTTTCTTTGAGTTCAGACGTGATTAGCCTTCATGATGCATGGATGCAAATTTGGACAGTTGAATTCTTGATGTGCACATAAATACATTGAGAAGATGGAACTAGAATTAAACTTCCGTCCAACTGCAGGTTAGTATATGCCTTATATGTTCTATGGAATTCCGCTTTCTCATTAGAACAGCCAGAAGTGTAAAATTACTGAAGTTTGAATGTTAATCCAGCTTAATACTTGGGGCCTCTGATATAGTGATATATGCATCAAAATAATAGATTTTTATTATTGCAAATTGTTGGTGACTACTGATCATCCTTATTATTTTTTATTCATACGGTTCACGGGGCAATGAGTATGAGATCTGTTCGTGGGTGTCAGGTCAAGGTTAGAGTGGTTCTGCAACTATTTCCATCTGAAAAGATATACTTTGCAGCATCCTGTATGATACGTATATGCTTGGTTAGTACTATTCATATCTGTGTTACTGTGTTTATGTGCTTCCTCCATATATTTTGCCTCACCTCGGCTTCATCCTGTGTCTCCGGCGGTGCAGCAGAGGCGTCCGAGCTGTCGAGGTGAGCAGTGGTGGACAACTATATAGTGTGTCCTCTTCTTCCTTGACGATGCCTCCGTGCTTTCCCATGTCGCCTCACCAGCCACCACCAACAGCAGTGTATTGATCTATGGCGGGCAAGACCAAAGCACTGCAGCCGCCCGAGGGGCGCCCAAGGCCAAGCCTACACTAGCAGCGGCGATGACGGAGGCGGAGGCGAAGGAGCTCCCCAAGGCCATCGCGTGGCAGCTGGTCCAGGACAAGCTCGCCTGGGTTGCCGTGGCCGGCGCCGGCGAAGGAGGAGGGTGGAGGTGTGGTGGACAAGGACGCCATGGCCGCCTTCGCCACTGCCTCTCTACCACTTCAGAATATCACTATATCTTCATCCCTGCCTCTCTGCCACTTCAGAATAATAGTTGACGTTTTCACCATAAATCTGTGTACTGCAGCATTTTTATAGATACTCTCTGTAAATAAAATCTTTTTTTCTTTAAGGGTTCATATATAACTCTGTTACAACATTGAACTAAATCCTGAATTCCTGATCCTTCCTTGTGTAGCCTTATCTCAGACATACGTAACTGAAAATAAAGCTATGCACAGAGAAAAGGTGTAGACTCGGTTGCTGGGCATGAACTCCGGCATAGACTACTTTAGTTTTCTTCCAGTAAAGGAGATGTCGAATGAGGTGTTCTTATAACTTCTAAGCTTATAAGGGAATATATGCACTACCATTGGAGTAGCAATTTTAGTTCTCAAATTGTAGTATTAAATTATATGTGCCAGGATTAGCATAGTGAAAAGTGACATGCCTCCTATATGACCGACTCATAGACTTATCTAAAAACTGGATCCTATGCTCTGCACCCTTCTTTGGCTTCGTGCCATTATTTACTGATAACTGTTCTCACTATCTATATTTAAACCTTCTCAGTGTAAGAGTGACAAGACACTCTCCTATCCATTCAATTGATTCCTTTTTTCTTATTAGTATTTTCAGGTCAACTACACTAAAAGCAAACTAAAAGATTCAGATTATAATACGCTCAAGGTCAGGCTTGCAAACAGTGATCTACACGCCAATTGTCGCATCATGCTAGGAACCGACAAGAGAGCCACCGTGACAACCAACTGGTCTGAGTTCCGCCGCCTTTCAAAAATCCATGAAGTAGACTTCTGTACCTTTCGTTTCAAGGTCACCACAAAGCAGCGCCTGGTTCTCATCGTGCATTGCCTTTAGATGAACCATCAACAACAACGGAAATCATATCTAAATATCATCTAGCATTGTAAGGACTACTAATCAAGCTCTATAATAGGGCTACCTTCCTCTGTTTTTCGACGATGCTATCTGTTGCTTTTGAACAACTATTACATATGCTTTTACCTATATAACCTCAGCTGTTGTTCCTCATCGATCTATTAATATGCATAATGCCACCCTTATCTATAATTATCTGTTATTGCTACTTTTTCTGTTTCAAACATCGAGTACTCACCGGCAACAACAAATATGCTAAGCAAGAAAGAGGCATGCACCTTCCACTCAAGGGATATAGCACTATCATTTAGCACAGAGTGTTCCAGGAGAAATAGTAATCATGAACAGAAACAATAACCAGTAGTAAGTACTCATTATTTCAATCTGTGACTGAGTTTTTCTATCACCACTCTTACAATACTTGGCTTGCCGTCGGCCTTTGCGCCATTGGCGCAACGGGTCATCTAGTGTGTCCAAAAGGATAAACTGGTCCCTCGCTTCTACTGTACAAATTTGGTAATCTTTCTCGACTCTAGTTAGTATATTTTGAGCTGTTATTTCATTCGACCAGACAAATACCTTCCTATACATTCAATAAGTTTTCTGTAGCATGTTTTCTTTGGGTAGGATCGAGCTAGGATCGATTTTATTAATAGCATAGTACCTGTGCAATACTGTGATTATAAGCCAAAACAAACTGTACAATCAAAATCCATATGATCAAACATTTCTACACTAAAGTGCAACCAATTACATTTTGTTTCCATTCGATCCAACTTGGATCAGGTTCCACCACCATTAAAGATAACGGAACAAAGGTCCACAACCAAAACGTAGCGGTAGAATGCAGAATGCGGAAAAAATAAAAGGGAGGCCCTACCCCTAGATGTTTCGACATCCAGACCCCATCTGAAGCCACCAATTACAAATATCTATGTTGGAAACAATAGCCAGCGGTAAAACATTTTGTTGCCCTCCATAGTCACACAACGCCTCCTAACATATAGTAAATGCCACACTGCAAATCAACGCATAAGGCTTACACCAGCCAAACCTAATGAGGTAAACAAACTAAATGGATGTATAAATGTTGTGCGGAATATTTCAACTCGTTTGTACCTCGTTTTTTTTTGAAACGGAGGCAAAAGATATGGCTCATCCATTAATGGAGAAGAAGTTTAAAGATGTTACAAACAACACAGATATACAAAGTCTCAGTCTCCAGACATTAGTTTACCCGAATGCTTGGCACCCACATTACTCCAAAGAGCGGCCTTCTCCTCAATGATGGTGAGCAGAATTGGTGGTGGCATGGACTTGTGCCGAAACACCCATGAGTTGGGCTTGTTCCAGATGACCCAAGAGGGTAGCATCGTGAGGGAGGCCATGACATTCCAATTAGGGCGATGAGGCTCAGACATACCGATCCACCAAGCTTTGATGGAAGGGATGGTGCTCCATGATGAACGGTCAACGAGTGGAGATGGAGCCACTCTTTAACCATGCCTCAAATCCTAATGGTGAAGTGACACTTGAAGAACAAATGATCAACGGATTCGGGTCTCTCTTGCAAAGTGGACATATGCCACATTTTGGCCACCCCCTTTTTCAAATCTATTGGTGGCCCGAACTCGACTTTGGATGGCCAACCATGTGAAAATTTTGACTTTCACAGGGCCCCAAAGCTTTCCACACCGCCAACTCCATGCACAAAGTAATGAGGCCATGAAATTATGCTTTATAAGCGGAGCCCGCCAAGTAGTGCCCACTTACTGTATGCTTCCATGTGATGTCCTTTATGCCCATCGTGAGATGGACCTCCCGCAAGTTGGTCCAAAGGGAGACAATTTTGCGGATGTGCTTAGTAGTCCAATTCTCAGGAGCTTAATTTTGGAGAGCCAAGCTCCCTCTTTCTTGGCCTCGGCCACCTTCCACATCTTCCTAGTGGACGCCTTGTAAATCAAAAGTGCAATCTCCTTATGTCGCACCCGATTGAGCCAAGGGAGACCTAAAAAGGTGCCCGCTCCCAATTGCCAATGGTGATAGTGCAGGAGGCGTAGAAAAAGTTGAGATCTGCATCATCGCAAGGGTTTCCCATACGCACCCACATTTGTTGGGTTCCTTCCATTCAAACGAAAACCATGGCAATCGCAAATGCAGTGTATGAGCAAACTTGAAGTGGTTGAGTACCTCGAGGCCGCCAAGGGGGTAGGGCTGACAAACGATATGCCAGTTATTCTCATTTCTGTCACATCTAATAGAGCGACCAGTTATTCTCTCCACTACGCCCCCACTAGATCCCAAGTGAACATGCATAAAAAGGTTGGGCCATCGCCAATCAAACTAACCCATGCTATTCTCATTTCTGCCGCATCTAATAGGGCGGCCAGTTATTCTCATCACTACGGTCTGATCCTTGGTGCCAACCTATTAAGATTACAAGTATAAACCATGCACAATATATTCATTTGTTCAGTTGATTTTTGACAGGGCCACAGATGAATAGCTAGTTTATAACTGCTCTAATTCATTTTGACAGCATCTGTTTGTGCAAGATGGCACAGAGCCACAGAGGCAAGGTGGGACAAGCTATGCAAGTAATATCCAAGAGATCAACATCCCTTACGTTCTATATGTAAACGAATTCCCAGCTTCAAACAAACATTAAATTTTAGTCAGGGGAAAAAGAGCTCACTGACTGCTTCGAAAATTTAGTACATTGTTCTTATATCAGGCAAATCAGAATCTATTGCACAGTTGCCTTCTGCAAGCGGCAGCACAATATTCACCTGGGTTAGGCGGCCTTGTTGTATGGCATCGGAACTTGAGAACTTCACCATCATCATCATCATTCTGCTATAATAGCTCAGCCATGACTTAGCAATCCATTTGTTGTAAGAAACTTGACATCATATTGCCTGAGTGGACCCTCCAGGCTGTAACAGTACATTGCCTGCCGATGAGCTATATGTGCCTACCAAACCATATATTGTGAATCTTGTCAATCATAAGCTGTTAAAATTTGCAGCTATCAATCGTCAACTGTCGTCAATCACAGATATCTCCATGCGTTTTAATAGGAATTATGACTCATCTCTTGGAATTAACCACGCTGTTGTAGTTCCGGCTAGGACACAAATCATTCACCATTTTAGGTTTTTGCATGTCACCCGAGTGCTAGAGCGACGCGGAAGGCAAATCATTTTATGTCTATATTGCAATTTTAGTAAGTGATTTATTAAGTTTCTGATTTCCCCCTGTTATGTAATTTGTGCCGCTCATGTTTTCACATCTCTCAGCTTAGTTGAATTGCAACTTAGTATCAGTGTGTTCTTAGGCAGTCACCATAAAAATGTATCTTTTTTACGGTTTTATCAATTAATAATAGAATATATGGTATTTATTTTTTGGGTGCAAAATAATGTAAGATATTCTCATAACATCACACATCAGTGGTCAGCCTATAGATACCTCAAGGTAAAAAATTAGGACTCATCTGTTGGAATTAACCATGCTGTTGTAGTTCGGTTAGGACACAAATCAGTCACCGTTTTATGTTTTTGCATGCCACCCGAGTGCAAGAGCGACGCAGAGGGCAAAGCATTTTATGTTTATATTACAATTTTTAGCAAGTGATTAATTAAGTTTCTGATATCCCCCTGTTATGTAATTTGTGCTGCTCATGTTCTCAATTTTAGAAAATGTATTTTTATGATTTTATCAATTAATAATAGAACATAAGATTTTATGGCATATGGTATCAATTAATAAGATAACATATAAGACATTCATAACATCGCAATTCAGCGATCAGCCTATATATACGTCAAGGTAAAAAAAACCTTGGCCAATTACTTCTAATATGTACAATATATAAATACATATGACAAAAGAACAAACAAGGCTAAGTATTCGTTCCCAATTTCTAGGATACACGGTGTGGTCGGCATCAGAGGGATGTCGCTAGGACAAAACATATAGATGAATGGAAGTGGTGGGGGTGCCCGAACTATAAACCTATGATGTCAAGTATAACTTATATATCTAAATCTTATACTATTTCATAAATTTATACATGAAATTTCACTTCTATTTATTGGTTCTGGCGAAAAGCCATGTAGTTAATTGACTACACACCCATAACATGGATTTGACACTGAATCCAAGCCGCAGGAGGATCAAGGCCAAAATAAGCATGACAATGGCAATGACCAAGCCCTTTCTGGCTAGGAGCCAGTTCTTTGTCTTGGTTGCTACTTCTACTCCTCGCTGTGCTCTGCCCATCCATCTCATCATTCTGTCCAGACCTTCTGGAGATAATGAAGACATAGCTTGTTGAGCTTTGGCAGCATCCTCCTTGGAGAGCTTCACGCCGAACTTCTGACTCAAGTCTGCCATCACATCAGGACTCATGTTCTCCATCATGGACACAAACATCTGCCGCATAGCTGGGTCTTCCATGGATTTTCTCACGGCTTCTTGCATATCAGCTATAGAAGGTGGGGAACTGGACGGCGACTGGTTGTTTACTACAATTTCATCGTGGTTCTCCGCAACATTTTGCAAAGACGGAGGCTGGAAGGTTGGAAGTTCTTCTACAATCTCTTCAATAACAACTCCTTTTGGAAGTTCTTCTACAACCTCTTCAATAACAAATCCTTTTGGTATGTTTCGTTCAGCTGCAAGTTTTCCCTGTGTTTCTCTCAGTACCTCAGCAATGGTTTCATCATCGGGAGAGATTTCATGGGCTTTACTCAAGTCAGCGACGGCAGCCTGTAGGTTCCCCAGTCCTCTGTACGCCTGACCCCTCCGGTAGCACGCCTTGACGACGACATTGCTCGAATCATCACTACATAGAAGAACCTCTGACCCTTCGTTTAGGCACTCCTCGAACCTGCCCGATTTCAGGTAACAAGACATGAGATTAAGGCTGCACTGCACTCTCAATGTGTGCGCGGCTACCGACGGCACGTTCTTCA